TGCCATCTGCAGCTTCATGGAAGGGACATGCTCTTTTACTTCATGGGCAAAAGAGAAAGAACTTGAAGATGTCGAGTATTTGTGCCTCTTTTCTTTCATTACATCTTACCAACTTCAACCAGCAGTATTGACACCTGACCCTACTACTTCTAGCACACTGCAGTCCTAAACACATGAGTATATTGTCACTTTTATGTTATGCTAATTTATCAGCTAAATTCTGAATGCATATTTCCCTATGGGTCTAAGCTATCTACAGAAACAGAAGAATGAGGCAAGACTTGCCATATACAAGGTGTGGTCTATATGCTCAGCTTTAAACAGCAGCAAGTCAGAGGAGCTAAAGTCATTTGTAACAGGTGATTTGATCTTGAGCAAGACATTTGTGCTGCACATGGATAACAAAGAATTAATGGAGGATGCAATAGGTCAGAGCAGCCTCAGTGCATGAGGTGGTGAGGATTAAGATCCTGAGGGAGTGAGGAAGGTTGCTGAGATGATCAAGAGGCTCTGGTGCAACACATAAGAAAAAACAAAGGGAACTTATTTGTTTAACTCGAAGGGAAAGCCACAGAGAGATTCTTTTCAGAGGAGCACAATGAAAGGACAAGAGGCACTAGACAAAAGCCTCAAACAGGAATGAGGACTGGATATGAAGAAAATTCTCTACATGGAGAATAGTGCAGCACAGGAACCCAAGAGGTTAGGAGAGGTTATGGAATAGGTCATTCCTAGAAATATTTGAAAAAACTCGACAAGGCTCTGGACAGTTGAAGATAACCCAAGTGGGATGCTGGAACCTCCTTAATATTTCGGTGTTTCTGGCTGGAAAGCCCCAAACAATATCCTAGATATGCTGGGCTGTTTCCACCTGGTCAGTCCATTTCACTTATCCTTTCTGTACTGTCCATTTGCCAAAGCTTTTCAAATGTTCAGCAGGATTACGTGGGCAGACAAGGAAGTCCATTTGCTCTTATGAAGGGGCATTACCCCACTCAGCCCAGGGGACAGCAATAACAATGCAAGCACTGACAACAGCAGTGAGCCCTGAAAGGCCATTTGAGATCACTGGAGCTGGAAGGAAAAGATACCACCCCAAGCTGGCATTCATACATCACAGGAGGAACACAAACAGGGGCCTCCTACACCATGAAAATGCACTCCAGAGGGAAGAAAACTCTTCACATATCCCAATGCCAGCAGCCAGAGAAAGTGCCCCCTTGCTTACACTGAGATGGCAGTGTCTCTTAACGGCATGGCAAAAGGAACAGATGTCCCCATGCTGGCTCCTGGGAAGCTGGCTGGACGCCCATTCAAATGCCATTAGAATTTGGCTTCTGGGTTTTTTTTTCTTTAAGTGAGAGGAGGTGGAAAATAAATGCCATCAGCTTCAAGAACTCATATAAAATGGGCAACAGATAATTAATTTTAAAATTGCTTAAATATTAGCAGTTCCTCTTGTATAAATAACTGGGTTTTTATTAGAACTTTTAATTCCATCAGATNCTGAGGGACATGGCTTGTCTCATTTTAAATGTTTATTTTGCCAAAGTAAACCAATCTAACATATTCCATGAAAATTATGCATATTTTCACAATGCTAATTTGAATAATCAGTGTGGGGATACAGAACACAAAGCAATGTATGGAACACATTGTTCACCAGCTGTTTAATTGTGCCAAGATGACTTCTGCATGGAGAATAGATGGTCATCTAGGGTGGGAAGGATCTTCTTGTGGTTCTCTAGAGTGCCCTTCCTTGCTGTGGATGAAAGTTAACCAATCCCTCTTCAGGGATGGGAAAATACTATTTATCTAGTCTTTGATGAGATTTGCTCTTGCACACACTTCTGACTGGCTGGTCAGGAATCTTCTGGAGAAGCACTTCAAAACAGAAAACTGCAGTGAAGCAAATCTGTAAGGTGTTCACTTAGACGAGTAACTTTTGATTTTCTTGTGGTCAAAATCTGTGATTTTTTTGGAGGAAAAGAAAAAAAGGCAGCTGGCTTTATTTTGGCACTTTATTTTGAAGCCATAACTGGAAGCCTTATATATTCTAAAATGTTCACTCAGATTGAAGATTTACGGACAAGAGCATGTGGTAAAACAATCATATAAAATTGAATAAAGCACAGTCCTAATTTCGTTTTCAGGAGCCAAATATTATCAGGTTGGATTCTTTCCCTCTTTTGAGATCCCCTGAGATCAGAAGATGGGGAATTCTTTGGCTTCGATCTCTCAAAAACTTGCCTAAACTTTCCAGCATACTCCCTGACTTTGAGCCAGTAGCTTGGCAAAATTTAGTGAGATGCTTCCTGTCCCACCAAGCTGCCGAGGCATGGCTGCCATCTCACCAGATAAATTTACACTGCACAAGTGTACTTCAGCCCATCAATTCCAGTTAAGAAGACTGGGTGTAAGCAGCTCTCAAATACTCAGCACCTGGCCAAATTGATCTCTGACATTTCTGGGGGGATATATAAATCAGAGCTCCTTGGGCAACTGGGGCCCAACCTCAGCCATGGGAACTCAGGAGGTTCCCCTGCAACCACTGAGGGTGCAGCAGCTTCCCTCATCTCCCCTGTCAGTCTGAAATATTGCAGATCTGCACTTACATTCCTCTGCTGTTTACCTAAATTCATCCCTTCTCCCATTTAAGCCCATTACTTTGTTGTTCAGTCCTCCGTGATAGATGAGGGCAATGAATCCCTGTCATCTAAAGCATATCTTCCCATGTCTTTGACAAATAGGCCTCCAATGGGATTTTCTGCAGCTTAAGAACACCCCAGATCTTCTTCCTTTAAGAAAAAGCAGCTAATAAAGCCCACTGAGCTCACCCCATGTGTTGGTATCTCAAGGCCAGACTCTTCTTGAAGAAGACCTGAATCTCTGAGTGTAGAAGTGTGTTTGTGTGTGTGTGTGCAGAAGCCCACAGATTCTCCTGCTCCACACATAAATCAGAAATTGTCTTACTGCAATTAGCAGTATTTAATTTGTTCAATACCAGTGTATGAAAAAGGACTAAATCCTGACGTTTGCATTTGATACAGGCCACGTTTCTGGGGCATGCAGCCTCTTGGGTCGTTCCACAAGGGCTTTCCCAGCCACTTGAAATTTCAGTCACCATCTTCCCACAGCTCCTCTCTCCTGTATGGACCCCCAGCCCTGAGCTGGCTGCAGCAGGGCAGCCCCAGAACACACCATGCTCCTGCTACAGCACCATGCAGCTTCCTGGGGATGGGGTAAACACCAGGGATGTGGGGCTGCAGCCACCTTGCATCCCTGTCCAAGTGCACCTGCACAGGACAATGTCAATGCCCTGCTACATGTGCTGCAAACCTACAGACACCCCTCAGCCTGCAGCCCATTCTTGGAGGAATGCCATCCTCAATCCAGCTAGGACCATCTTTGAATTATACCAAAACTTGTCTGCAAATCAAGCAGGCTCCTCCTTTCAAAAAGTACATGAAGTTTGCTTCCATTAACCCTACCACACAGATGAACTTTTGTTCACCTATAATAATAACTGGGAAGCCAAATTCCAAGCTGGCCAGGTTAAATACTCCGCTAGCAGTGATACAGGGAGCTCCAAACCAACACAGATGAGAAAAAGCAAGACTTGAGTCCTACTCTGTTGATGCAATTTGTAGCAGTAAGGATCTGAGCTTAACTGCCCACTCAGGGACGGCACTCTGATGCCTATGAAATGCAGAGATGGTGCAGAAAATATTCTATCTTTTTTAACCTTTTGAAGAACTTTGGCATTGACAAAACAACTTACTCTTCAAAAGGAAGACTGACTGCTGCTTTGCATGCATTTAAAGCAGTATGGCTCCTGCACATGACCATGATTTTTAAACTGTTGCCCTTTGTTACACAGCACAAATCCAGCACGTCTGAACATGGCTTTGAAAGATAACCTTTTCTGACAAGGTCATTTGATACCCTCAGCCTTTACACCAGCCTCAAAGCACGAGACTTCAGTGAACAGCTGCTCTTCTCCAGCCTAGAAATTCCTGATGGTTGCTGAATTTTTTGAGGCTAAAATAGTGAAAACGCTTTTCTCCTCTTCTCCTTGGAGAGAGAATTCCCCGTATCCTTTACCCACGTGGCATGTGTATAAATATAATCTCCTTTCTCTTCTGGCAGCAATTCAGATCATGGGTTTTATTCTCCACCCCACCCAGATGGCAGTTACAGAATCGGGGCAGGAGGGAAGAAGATCGGAGAGGAAACATATGAAATTATACTGGCAAGATTTAAAGGGGACGGATAGATAGAAAAAAAATGTGCAGAAAACAGCTGTCTTCCTCCTAATTTGATATTTTCAAAAATGAAGCTGCACAAGTGAGACCCACTAGGTGATGCATTTGATTGTAACTGGGTTGCAAAACAGACTAATTTTTCTTACTGTAGTCACTGTTTTCGTCCTTGGTCCCATCAATTGTACCATCTGGGTGCATCTGCAGGAAGTATTCCTGCTGGCTGAATAACCTTGTCACAATTCCTTTCAGCTGGGGTTCTGCAAAATAAAAATAATAATTATTACCAGATATTACGAGTAGTACAAGACCCAATTTGCTTGTCCCCCCATTAAGCCCTGAGTAAATGTAGAAGTGCTTGGCAGGTAAGACTGCTTTCAGCGATTCCTTTCAAGCATGGCTGTAAAATATTCATATATAACACAGAGACATACAGGCAAATACAACTGAGATCAGATGAGCAGGTAAAGTGAAATCCATAATTGGTGCAGTAGAAACAGATTATGGAACATCAGTTCTCTGAAAGTTACCTACCAAATGGAAGTATTTAGACAGCTGATGTGTTTAGAACGTGCCACTTGTTCAGAGGAGTATTTGCTAGCACTGTTGCAAAGAATGTGCCTGTTGTTTCTTATTCTGCTTGTGAAGTGAACCACCTTGTTTTTTGTATGGTTGAGTCACTATCATGCAGTGTCAGTTTTATGCCAATGAAAAGCTACTTAAAATGACTGGCATGACAGTGGTGTAAACACAGAGCAACTGAGTGCCAAATCAGGGCTGCATGTGAGTCCAACTCTGTGGGACTTGGGGAGAAAAATTCAGAATAGAACAGACACAAGAGATTTCCACAACTGACCTCTGAAGCATTTATGGGCAATCATAATGGTAAAAATAAAACAGACCACCTGTTTTAAAATCCTGCATCCCTCCCTCCTAAAACATGTGCCACACACCCTGGCAGGTAAGAATCTTTGTCTCCAATAGGAACCTTTCCCAGTTGCTGTGTCATGAGCCAGCCATACCCTGGCTGGGTCTTCCCTACTACCTCTACAATATTTTGTACCTTCCTGCTGAAGGGTAAAAGGAAAACATGAAGAAAAGCAAAACCAAATTGAGCTTCACAGGACAGAGGTGTGCAGCTTTACCACCTGTCTCCTCACCCCCCTACCAATCACCACAAACTAAGTGGTGAAAAACAAATTTGACTGTAATCATGAAAGTCTTAAAATTTGTCACAGGCTTTGCTGCTGGAACGCAAGGGAGCTGACGGCATGTGAGCAGACACACTCGCCGGATGGAGGAGATCCTCCTTGTGTGACAGGAGGTTGTGGTTTTATGTGACCACCCACCAAAAGTAAATAAATAAGACCCAATTATTGCTGGCTCAATGGACAGGAAAGAATCCAGCGTAGCATACCAAAATCTCGTCAGGCTCCTGCCTTTCATGCCTCTAGTGAGGCTGTTTAATAAGCCATGGTTGTTACATAACCGCGGTCACGTTGTGTGTTACTGTTCCCATCCAGAGCCCCGCTCTCGCTGCATCACTGCTCGACTCCCCTTTGGGGAACCCTCGCCCCGCTCTCCTGCACTGACAGCAGCAGCAGCAGGGATCTCAGATGCAGACAGGCTGCAGGTGCAAAGGATTTCAGTTTCAGCAATCCCTACACTAGCCAGGGGAGAGTCAGGTACTTTCTCACAGCTACAAAAGCCACTGAATAAATCAGATCAGATGGTTTCTATGCTGCCTTAAAAAAGAAGTGATTTCAGTGCAGTGAGTGCTGTAGGCTGCAGTCAGGCTTTCTCCCAGCAAGACTCAATGCTAGGACAGTAAATAAGTACAATTGTACTGGTCATCTACTAAGAGCTAATGCTGGTCACACCAACATGTGTCAAAATGACACCTAGTAACATTTAACTCATTCTTCTTACCTAAATAAATTACCTATTTTGTTGAATGCAGAAGCTTGATTTAACTTGCTTTTCATTAAAAAGCACATCAAAGCTAGAGGAAATGAAAAGCTGTATTCTCAGGCACAGATGCCTGCACCACCCTCCTCAAGTCTGTCCCCTTCTACCCTTTTATCTAACACCACAATAGTAAAGGCACTAATAGGCACTCTTTGTTATGAGACACCTACATTTGAGTCCCTGAATGAATCTTAGCCTCAATTTTACTCGCTGGTTAAATTTTAATGTTTAAGTACTTTGCATGAAATGGAAGAGCTCCCAGAAGGAGAGATTTAGAAGATGCTCCTGCAGTCTGAGGCTTTCTGTGTGCTGGAGAAGCGGGGAGGTCCTGTCTTAAAGCTTCCTGAAGACGAGTGGGGAGAGAAAACAACCCTGACCTTATCTCTTTTCTTCAGAATATAACTTAGCTACATTATCGATTTAGAATTCCACCTTTTCCTCCTTCTTAGGGATGCAAACTATATTTCAACCATGCAAATAATTTTGGAATAGGAATCTCTCCCACTTTTACTAAATAGACTACCAAGTAAAACACTGAACAAATCAGCTTATTATTAATAACTTACGACATTTTCAGAGTTTATCAGAATAGCACCCAAGATCCCCTGATGCTTCCTTGCACCATATCTATAGATGCAAACACTTGCACCAGAAGGCCATATCACCATAGCAAATACAGGGTAAACTCCAGGGTTCCTTTCTGTTACTGACCTGACTGACACCTGGTCAGCTTTAACAACTGCCCTCTTCATGATGCCAGCTTTTCTGAGTCATTGCCTTCCTAGGGACAAGTTGGAGGGGAAATCTTGTGTTATGTGACCTGATTTTGCTGAATATAGAGGCTCACACCCAAACTCAAAAGTAAAACTCAAAGGGAGTGAAGCAGAGAGTTCTCAGCCACATTTTTCCTGGCCCTAACACAGCAGAGTTCCTGTCTCTCCCCACTGCACAGATCCTCTTCTGCAGGAACATCCCTGCCCCACACGCACTTAGGGTGCCCTGTAGAAAAAAATACCTCTTCCAGACACTGAAGAATTAGAGAGCATTTTGGAGACGCACAGGTCCCTCCTTCCCTGGATTCTTCATTTCCTTGGGTCTCCTTCTACAGCAGAGAAGCATTGGTGAGAAGCTGCACCTTTGGGTACCTTTAGCTACTTGAACTAAACACAGAATCAGTGCAGGAAGGTGCACAGCCAGCACCGAGTTCTCTCCTCTAACACAAGGAGGGATGGAGAGTTGTCTGAGCAATGAGTGACTTGTCTCACACAGTACAGCATCTCTCCACCTGAATTGATCTTTCTTTGCATCCCCAGACCCCCACAGGCTGGCCAGGCCAGGTCCACAGTGTCCCAAAACCACCAGTATCTCTCCAGTGCCTGCAAAGGAAGCAGCTCAAACACAATTAGGTGCACAGGTGACAACAGCTGCTAGAGTAGCTGCTTCCCACCAGGGAACCTCTTGTCTTGTGTCTGGGCATAAAGTGAAGTACTGGGATTTGTCATTCATACAGTAAGCAGTGTGGCTGGAGGCCTACAGAAAAAATTTTAGGGAAAGGCAACTTTTAACAAGGAGCAAGGATTTACCCATCTTCCCCTCTCAGTATTGAACCTGAAGAGAAAATTGTATAATCACAGGACGGGAATATTCCTGCTAGCCCAGAGGTAAAATGCTGCACGTGACTTTTAAGAGACCTACTTTTGTCAAATCATATATTTTAACATCACTTCTTTCCATCTACAGAGCAATTTTATCAGTCTTCCAGCACTGCTAACCTTATGGTGCAGCATTTGTGCTGAAAACCTCAGTTTATAGAAAAACCCTCAAAACTAATAAGTCGCCTTATCAATTAAGGATGCTGAGACACCCTGGTAAGTCAGAACAGAAAGACAATGAAATAGACTGAGAACTTTCCAGGTTTGCAATAAAAAGAGAACCACCCGTCCCAGCAGACATTATTGACAGTGCTTATTGGAGTATCAGGGGGAAAAAAAATGCAATAAAACCCCACAACCACGATACTTTTGTCTATACTTCTCTCAGTGATACTGCTCCAGGCTATATTCAATGATAGAAAGAAGCAAACCATAAAACAAAGGAAAAAAATGCAGCAGAGATAACAAAAAACTCTGCTATGAGCATTTTCTTTCTATAATTCTTACAATTTATCACAAATCAAACTTGAAACCTACTCTCTAACCTCAGCCTTGTAAAGCAAATGGGACTCAAATCCTCTTGCTTTTAAAGGTGCAATGCTGCATAACACACTTAGGATAAACCTATTCCTCCCACTCAGGCTCCTCTGTGTGTACTTCTATTCTGCTGTAGAAGCAGCTTTCCCTGCAGAAATGGAACTGAACTAACATGGACAAGACTTCAGCACCAACTTAGTGTCTTTCTAAACACAAAATCAAGCACTTCAGAATGGATTTAAGAAAGATGTTCTTGCTGCCTTAATCCCAAACTACTGACTGAACAGAAGAGATTTCCATGCAGCTTCTACTCCCAGTGCAGACCTCATGTTACCAGGTTTCCCATGCAATATGCAAAAGGATATTTTTATCCCTACTTTATAAGCAATACTTCAGGATGCTTACTTTAAAGATCCTGTTTTAGCTGCTCATGTACTGCTGTTGAGGGCTGGGGATTACTGGAGAAAACTCAATGGACTCTCTTTATGCAGATGCAGTAAGCTCAATTCCTTCAAATGTGCCAATTCCAGAAGATGCAAGGGAAGATCATGCTCAGGAAGCACCACAATGGGGACATCAGGGCGCAGAACACAACAATAACCCAGAGCAAGAGCTAAGCTGTAACTCCCCTAGTGTACAGCACCCGTAAGACTGGGCACTTTCCCTTCGGTGAAGACACAGCTGCCACCTAATGATCCTTCTTAAAGCAGTCATTCACTGACAACTCACTGAACATCCCCCGAAGGGCATCTTGCTTGGTTACCCTTTCTACAAGCCAAACTCACCACTTCTGCCTGCCCTGCTTTTAACTTTCTGAGCCCTCTGGCACAGCCGAGGCTAACTAAATCATGATCTGACTGCTAATCTTCTTGTCTCTACTTAAATGGTAATGTGATGCTGCCATTATTCACTTCTGCTGTCCTGCTGCTGAGCCTTAAAGTCATCTCAGTTCACCGTGAGTTGCTGTGCTTCCTGCCTTATTATGCAGATACACAGTGATCTTCATCCTCCTGGGGCTCGCCAAGGACATGATAGTTGCAGGGTGCTCACATGCACGTTGTTTGATCTCCAGGGCACGCTCACTGAAGGCAGAGGATCACGGC